TCTGGGAGAGGAACTGGCACTCTGGTTTCAATGAGAGCTTCTTCTTTGGAAACAATCAAAGCATCATCCTCCAGACCCAGCCAGTTTGGTTGTGGTTGGATGCTGGTTGGCTTATTTGAGTTGCTACTCCTCAGGACTTGAGTGGATGGGAAGGGAATGGAGGAAAAGTGTGACTACTTTTGAAAAGGGCAGTTGGGTTGACTACTTTTTAAAAAAGACCAGGGCGCCTGGGTGGCTCAGTTGGTCAAGCTTCTGACTTCGGCTCAGGTTATGATCTCACGATTCGTGGGTTCGAGCCCTGCGTCGGGCTCTGTGCTGACATACAGCTCAGAGCCTGGAGACTGTTTTGGATTCTGTGTCTCCTCTTTCTCTGACCCTCCCCTGCTCACACTGTCTCTCTTTCTCTCTCTCAGAAATAAATAAAACATTAAAAATTTTTTTAAAAAGACTGGACGTTTTTCCTATCCCGGAATTTGTTGATGCTCCTTTATCAAGAGGCACAATCTGGGGGCACCTGTAGCTCAGCTGATTAAGGGTCTGACTCTTGACTTCACTTCGGTTGTGATCTCACGGTTCATGGGATCGAACCCTGCATCAGGCTCTGTGCTGACAGTGTGGAGCCTGCTTGGGGTTCTCTCTCTCTCTCTCTCTCTCTCTCTGCCCCTCCTCTGCTTATTCCCTCCCTCCTCAAAAATCAATAAATAAACTTTTTAAAATAGAGGCACAGTGTAATTCTCCTTAATTGGCCCTAACTATGGGGTGATCCTAGTGCCTTATCTGCCATGAATGGAAAGTGTCACTGGGTGATTCCTGAAGGTAGGGTAGAATGGAGATATGGTTTCTGCTTGCCTCTGTGGTGCAATGCTAGACCCTGGAACACAGAAGGCCAGGCAATATGAAGAGGCCATGTGCAGGTGCTCTGGTCAACAGCTCCCTACGGAGAGCCAGCCAACAGCTCCCCGAGGTATGAGAAAGCCTTCAAAGCTTCTAGCCCCAGCCTCTCTCTGACTGCAACCGTATGAATCATATAAGCAACTTGAGGGAGACCAACCTCAACCCTCAGGACTGGCAGGTGATAATAAGTGATTCTTGTGACTTGACACCAACGTTTGAATAGATTGTTACTGATAACGGTCCATGAGAGGAATGCATACACACCATTGCCCACTGCCTCCCAAACCACAGGGCTATAATGAGAAGGAAGCTGCAAATACGTGGGAACTGTCTCATGAATGCAAGCCACAGCCTCAACTGCCTCTCAGAACCACATTCTAGACACAGTGTGTCAGTTCAGCACGAGAATCCCCTCTGAAGCATACCTATCGACTTCAAATGGCTCATGAGGTGAGTCCACTGTTGAAAAATCACCCCCACTTTACAGTTGAGAGTTCAAAGGCCATTGCTCAATGTCATTAGAACAATTAAAGTTTTCTTTGTCGTCAAAATAATATGGATACTTAGCTCCACTCTTTGCATTGTTTTGATAGTATAAATGCAGTCTTAGGGGTTTTCATATAGACTGTGGTCTGGGTATTTTTCTTTTTCTAATTTTTTAATGTTTATTTATTTTTGAGAGAGAGACAGAGACAGAGCAAGAGAGGGGGAAAGGCAGAGGGAGAAGGAGACACAGAATCCAAAGCAGGCTCCAGGCTCTGAGCTGTCAGCACAGAGCCTGATGCAGGGCTTGAACTCACGAACTATGGGATCATGACCTGAGCTAAAGTCAGATCCTTAGCCAACTGAGCCACCCAGGCATGCCTGGGTCTTCCTGCTATAGTGTCGTGTTGGAAACATGGCCTGATGTCTGTGGTCTGATTCTAAGACCTTTTAGTTTTCAGACCAGTTTAAAGTAAAAGACAGGTATTTGGAGGAGGAAAACGAAATCTGAGCCACTCCTACATCTCTGTCACTATGAGTGGATGGCAGTTTTTCAACGTGACATGCTTTCTTAAACATGTCCCAGGACTGCAGGCACACCCAGGCTGGGTTTTCTAGCAAAAGGAACTGGCTTCCTGAAGCACTGTAGCTGCAACGGGCAAGAACTTTCAGGAACCTTCTGCAACTCAGATCACTGTCAACACAAGATGCAGCTGTCATTCTCCAGCATGCTGATTTGTCTGGCAGAGGGTCTGCAGGCTAGACTCCGGGACTCGCATGAGGTGGGAATGGAGTTGGTGCTCCAGACAGTGTGGGGAACTGTCCCCAGAACTGCTGGTACCAACTGTTTTTGGTCCTCTATTGCCCTGAGCTGTAAAGGCGCAGCTCCCTCGGCAAGAACGCAGGGGGTGTGATGAGAAAAGCGGACGCGGCTGGACCAAGCTGGTCCTCGAGAAGTCAAGGGTGTTTTCCTGCTCCAAGTCACGTCGCCCGTGCCCCCAGATGCTTCTGCAGTGACAGCAAAGCAGGACGCCCCTTCAGCTTTGCTTAGCTGCAGGAGGACCTCTCTCTCCTTCCTCAAATTTTATCTAGAGAAAGGACGTGTCTTTCCGTGTTCCATGCCACCAAGCTGAGGGGCACAGTTAATACTTCCACCTGAAACCAATTACACTCGGGAAGAACTGGGTGTATTCTGCTGCCCTGTCTTCCGAGCATGTGATTTCTTTACAGTGGAACAGTTGAAGCAGAGAGAGCATTTGTTTTCTTCGCAGAAGCTCCAGGGAGTTTGTGTGGTTTCACTGCCTCCCCAAGGGCTTCAAGGACCCAACAAGTCCAGTGGACAGGGCCACAGGGCTCTTTTGTAGCCCCTATCCCCGGCTCCCTGGGGAAACGTCCTGTTCATCTCTTCCGTGATTTCCTTGCTTTTCAGCTTGACACGATGGTTTTGCAGCCTCTTTCTTCTGAACGTTCAGTGAGAAATACAACAGAGCACAATAATGGACCAAAAGCCACAATCACAGCCACTTGTTGGATGCTTGCAAGTACCTGGTATGTCTCATCTAGCTCACTTCCTCCTCAAAACTTGTGGCAGGCACTTCAATTCTTCCCTGTTACAGATTAGGACACTGAGGCCGGGAACAGGTTAAATTCCTTTTCCACGGATGCTCCGCCAGCGGCAGATGCTGGATCTGAAGTGAAGCCTGACTCGCAGACCCTGAAAGGTGCAGCGCTAGACTTGGCCTCTTGGGTGTGATTAAGATCTGGGGCTTTGGAGCCAGAGTCCTTGCTGGGAGCTGCCTCCTCCTCCCGTGTTCTGCACAGATGGCTTTTCCTCTCTAAGCCTTCACGCTCCCATCTGTGGAACGAGCGCAGGAACAGTTCTCTAGAAACTGATCACTTGGGGTTGTTGGGAGGAATATGAACGATCATAGCTGGAGCGGTGCACCATGTGTGTGCATAGGTGGCTGCTGCCACTGTGATTCTGAATTCGTACCTGTTGTCAGGATTCTTCGCAGTTGATAAGAGGTCTAATTAGCATCCACAAAATGGCTAGACCTGGCAGGACAGAATAGAGAGAATTCTGATGCAAGAAAAGAGAGTGTGCTACCAAAGTGCGGCTCTTTCTGGAACTTTCCTTTTGCCCTTTGTCTTTCTGATATTCTCTGTACCTCTGTGCAACAGACTCTTATTCTTATTCCATCACTGCACAACAGAAGACAGCAGTGTGATTCAGAATGAAGCAAAAACTGCTCAGTGAGAAGGGGGGGGTCCCTGATGAGGTGCCACGCAGACTTCACTGCCATAGAGACAGAGAGAGAAAGTGGGGAAGAGGCAGAGAGGAGAGACAGAATCCCAAGCAGGTTCTGCACTATCAGCACAGAGCCCAATGCAGGACTTGAACTCACAAACTGTGAGATCATGACCTGAGCCGAGATCAAGAGTTGGACGCTTAAACAGCTGCACCACCCAGATGCCCCAACATATTTTTTATTTGAGAGAGAGAGAGAGAGCGAGCTGACGTGTGCATGCAAGCAGGGAAGGAGATGGGGGGAGAGAGAGAGAGAGAGAGAGAGAGAATCTTAAGCAGGTCCCATGCTCAGTGCAGAACCTGACCTCACAAACTTCGAGATCATGACTTGCGCAGAAATCAAGAGTCAGACGCTTAACCAACTGAGCCACCCAGGCGCCACAATTTCTCTTGACATATTAACTCTGCAATATAGCTCCCACATTCCGAACCTTGTTTTTAGTATTTAATACCAAATCCTTATCACACATTCACCTCTTTTCATACTATTGAGATTTACAAACACTACAAAATCCTATGTTGGAACTTTCAATAATATGCAGTAAACTATCACTTTCCCTCCTACTAGCTAAGAATACAAGATAAGGGTTGTAGCACTTCAAAATCAGGAGCCTCCTAATTTAAAAATAAAAAAGAAACATGCAAGACCCAGAATTTTAGCTTTCCCTGAAAATGTAGAGGATCTGGGTCACTGGGTCTCTGTTCCCTCGTGATCCCAGTCAGGTGGAGCAGAGTAGCAGCGCTGACATGCAGGGAGGGCATCCTTCCCGGTCCCCTTGGCCAGTCTCATATTTTCAGCTCCTTCCGGGTTCCTGGAGACATCTGCATTTGCACCCCCTGAAACCATACTAACCAGGATGCTACCAGCTCTGTTCACCAGTGAAGAGAGGATAAGACTCTCTGTCACTTACTATCTTGTGGAAACATCCACTGTTCCACTTCACTGACACTGTGATGCTGAAGGAAATAGAAATTGATGTCCTGTACTTAAAGAATGGCTCTCAGGACAAGTGTCTCCAGAGTTTACTGCTTGGCAGCAAAGGTACCAGTCTCTACTTTCCTTTTGTCTTTTCCTGGTTATGGAGTCGATAACACACAACCAGGACCAGGCTGGCTCCCTTCCTGTTCTCCAGCTGACATAAGAAGGCCCAGGTTCTCTTTTTTGGATGACGTACCCGGACTTATAGCACATAATGTCCCATTCATGTCATTGCTAATTTTGCTTTTTTGAATTGCTTGTGTAAGTCAGAAATAGTAAGTCTTAATAATGAAGCTACCACGTTGTTTTTGAAACAGTTATGAGTATACTACTTACGCTCAATTAAGAAGGACATGTTTAAGTTGCTGAAGACCTCATTTTCAGTGCAATATCCCATCCCCCTTTTGGCCATGTAGGGCTATTGAAGACTTGAGGATGGTGTTATTTTCTCCAGTGTGAAGCAATTTGAAAAAGAAAATAATATAATTAAAAGAGAGTGCATCGCAGTAAGTTTTTGAATGAAAAGACTGACATATAAAGAAGCCAGAGGTAGTGTTTAAATTCCACTGTGAGAACAGCTGGGACAGGAAGGCCAGCTCCCAATCTCAGCTCTTTCTTCAACTAGCAGCAAGCGACCTTCACCAAATCACAGCCCACAAAGACTTTTTCAGTGCCTGAAATGTTTCCGTGAGTAGTCACCACAGTGTACTTGGAAACAGGCATTACCTCTGCTGTAGCCACTCCAGAAATGCTTGACTACCTCTGCTTTCCTCCCAGACAAAAGGAGGAGAAGAAGGGAGAAGAGAAGGGCAAGGATCAGGAGGATAAAGAGGAGGAGGAGGAGGCTGAACTTGGCTGGGGCTGAAGCTGAGCCCCAGTCTTCAGGGATGCTGGTGGTACCAGAGGCCTGGCTCTGTGGGAACAACCAAATACAAGCTTAAAAGTTCCTCTGTGAAAAGGCTGGAACCTCTCCAGCCTTCCTCTCCTCTTTCCCACCTTGTTTTCTTTCTTTCTTTCTTTCTTTCTTTTTTTTTTTTTTTTACAAATAGTTTATTGTCAAGTTGGTTTCCATATAACACCCAGTGCTCATCCCAGCAAGTGCCCTTCTCCATGCCCATCCCCCCTCCCCCCCACATCCCTCAGTCCTCAGTTTTTGTCAGCATTCAAGAGCCTCTCATGGTTTGCCTCTCTCCCTCTCCCCCACCATTTCTCCCCTTCTTCTCCCCCATAGTCCTCCGTTAAGTTCCTCCTAATCCTCCTATACGTGCAAACATATGGTATCTGTCCTTCTTTGCCTGACTTATTTCGCTCAGCATAACACCCTCAAGGTCCATCCATGTTGCTACACATGGCCAGATTTCATTCTTTCTCATTGCCATGTAGTATTCCATGGTGTAGATAAACCACATCTTCTTGATCCATTCGTCAGTTGATGGACAGTTAGGCTCTTTCCATGTTTTGGCTATTGTTGAGAGCGCTGCTATGAACATTGGGGTACATGTGCTCCTATGCATCAACACTCTTGTATCCCCTGGGTAAATTCCTAGCAGTGCTGTTGCTGCATCATAGCGGAGTTCTACTGTTAACTTTTTGAGGAACCTCCACACTGTTTTCCAGAGGGGCTGCAGCAGTTTGCATTCCCACCAACAGTGTAGGAGGGTGCCCGTTTCTCCACATCCTCGCCAGCATCTAGAGCTCCAACCATCTGCCAGTTAATCTGTCTTGCCTCTGGGGCTTTGCATATGCTGTTCTCTCTGTGCCCGAAAAGTCCTTTCAGTCTGGCTTTTTGAGGCCTTACGTCATTTCCTGTCCTTGAGACTTTACACCATTTCCTCAGGAGAAACTCTGCTATACCACCCCCCAAGGTTGAAGTAGGCTCCCCTCTTCCGTACTCCCAAAGCACCTGGCTTCGGATGCTTCTGTACTGTCCATACTGTGTCACCTTGCTTGCTGGCTGTTCTCTCTCCCCAGACCATGAGCTCCCTGAGAGTACAAACAATAAGCACAGAGCACATGGGCAGGCCTCAATACAGATGTGTTGAGAGAACAAGAGAATAAAGAGTGTGTATATGTATAAGAAAATTAGTATATTGAAATCTACTGACTGAAAAAATATTCTATAGAGAAAAATGATATCTTGCTCTGGAGACCTAGAATCTAAACCCAGCTCTGTCATGAAGTAGCCACACATGAAGGAGGTCACTCAAATTTCTAAACCTTAGCTTCCTACGCCATAACGTCAAGATTTAAACACTCCGCCCTTCGCACTTCACAAATCGTTGTGAGAAAAATGTGAATAATTTTTGTACATGGCCGTGTTTCTCAGAAAATTCCATTCTGGTTGTTTTCCGGTGGCTGACATGCAGGTCCCGGAGGCCTTGTCTGCCTAAGGATCCATCAGGTCCCACAGTGAAAGGAAAAAGGTCAGTGGTTTGGGGGCAGTGGGGAGGGGACACATGCAAATCTTAGTCTATGACTCACCAGTCTGTCCAGGGGACCCCACCCAGCTGGGCCAGTGGCAGGTTTTGGAAGTGGCCCATCAACTAAGTCAAGAACACATTCTATTTTACAACATCTTCTAAGAGGGCAGGGGCTCAAGTCACAAAAGTCATTGCTGTATCACTCCAAGCCTTTGGGGGGTGGGAAGTCTGCCTCCTTATATCCTTTATTCATAACTTTCAGAAAAGCTACACTAAATCTGCCACTGCCTCCTACTAATTGCCTGTAAATCACCCATGTGTGAAGTTCCACATGCCTTTCCATAGGCATAAAGTTGAAGGGCCCCACACATTCAGAGGCCCTGATGGGGAATCCTGTCATTTGGCCGATGGAACGGTAATAGATGTGGAAGTAAGTGATGCATAATGGATCATGGGATTTAAAATCCAGCCTCCACATCCGAGCTGCCTGACAAGGTTAGGGGATTATATGGCAGCAGCCACATCAATTATGGAATAGAAAATACTCCCCCCGCCCCTTGCATCTCAGAAGGTGGTAAACATTTTATACGGGGTACCTCTGTCAGAGCAAAATACTTACTTTTATTGATCAGCCTGGGGTCTAAGTAAGTGGAAGGGGTAGGGAAACGCGGTCCCAAGAATGGCAGGCAATGATCCTTTACTTATGACTTTATCCACAATTTGGCTTGACAATTGATGGGAAATGAAGTGTGATCAATTTCAGCTGACTGTACATCGTTTCCCATTGACTGACCTGCCAAATCGTTGACTGAATAATTAGTGAAGGTTTGGTCTGAGCAGCCATTTTGCACACCCCTCTCGGAGACAAGTCCTAATGGTATCTCAGAAAGGCCAGGCTGTGGCCACAAGCAGGGACATTAATTGTTTATCCTTTCACTTAAAGGGGTGAGCCACCATGTCGATGTAAATAAATGTTAATAGTCCCTGAGGGCTGAGTGGCAGCTGGGAGCGGGACTGTGAGACAGGGCACTTAGAGAAGTCTGATGTAGCATGAGGATTTAGAGGTGGCTTCTCCTGGGGAAAGGAGATCTATCCAAATGCAAACAGAACCCAAGGGAAAACAAGTCATGACTTCTCTCCAGTTAAAAGAGGATGTTTCTCAGTGATTATTAAGGCAAGCAGCTACAGTTTGGTGAGCAAGTTTCTGGTAAAGGCAGCGAATACCACCCCTCCCACACCCACCCCTGAAAAAAAAAGTCCCATTAACCCAGAAGGCACCTAGCCTGGTGCCTGGAACTCAGTGATTGCTCAAGAAATATTATTAGCTCCTTTCCCACTTGGCAATTCTAATTTTGCAAAAGGGGCTGAATAGCTTTTAATAGCTTCCATTGTCCAGGTGGTATTAGTATGAAATTACAGAGAATCACAGGAGGCTCTAGAAACAGGGACTATGACTTCATACTGACAACAGACTCAGGCTTGGGATTCTTAGGGCTTCCAGACTCAGGTTTGAGCACTCCACCAAGGAGGACCTAAGAGTTCGGTGACCTGCTGGCTAGTTCTGGTTGTTCACAAGTACCCACAGGGTTGTGGGACCACCTTTGCCTCATGTTCTGTTATACTCTGTCCCCTTTGCCTGAGACGCCCTCCACATTAGCCAGGACAGCTGCAGATCTTTCGTGACATAATACAAGGTCCCTTTAGGGGATTTTCTTGGACTTGACTTTCCAATTCCTTAAGAAGTTTTAAGTGCTCCGGCCTCACTGATGCCACGGTAACTCTCAAATATGTCGATTGAAACATCACGTGAAGCTGGTGCTGGTTTCCTGTCTGTCTCTGCCACTCAAACTGAGAGATTCTTGGGGCCATTTTTTCTTTGTTTCTATGTCCCCTTTTATGATATCTCTTTCTGTATCCCCTAGAGTGCAGCCCATTTCATCAAGAGCACTTGATAAATGTTTATAAATGAATCAATGAATCCTAAGATATATTAGAAAAGTCTTCCAATTAACTTATAATCTTTTGTAACTTTAGCTGAAAGCACCTGGCCCAGACTATTATAAAAGCCCTTCCACTGGGTACAATGGCCCTGGGCTCCCCGACCAAGAGAAAATTCATTCAATTCAAATAGGATTTGTCTTCCTTCCTCTCAGTACAGGAAGGTTTTTCACAAAACAGAAAATGTAACAAGACTTATATTTTATTTACTTACTTTTCAGTAGGAGAGAGAGAGAGAATCTTAAGCAGACTGTACACTCAGCACAGAGCCCCATTCAGGACTCAATCCCATGATGCTGGGATCATGACCTGAGCCAAAATCCAAGAGTCAGACACGCAACCAACTGAGCCACCCAGGTGCCCCTAGCAAGGCTTTTAATCAGAATTCTGAGTTATTTTGGCACATTTTGTACCTGTTCCTCTTCTGTCCTTAGATTTCATTGGCATCAGAAGCAGCACCTCCTCCCACGCCTAGGCTGGGTGAAGTCCAAAAGCTACTTCATATCAATGCTGTTTTTTCCTCACTTCCAAAGCAAGCACTCACTGGACCTGTGACTTACACACACACTTTGTCCTAGTTGCTGGGGTTCTGCAAGGTCTGTATTTCTATAGGCTTGGCCATCAATCAACCCAGCATGCTCCTGGCCACAAACAGATGGCCTATGTGTATCTAAAAACTCCTAACCATGACTTCTGCAGAGGCCTTTCCTTACCTGCCCTTCTCTGATACCTGTGTGCTGCCTAGTGATGATGCAATTCTCTCCCCTCAAACTTCCAAAAGCTTTTGGTCACTTTGGTCAGTGCAGTGTGGTAGTTAAAAGTTATCAAATCACTAAGCTGTACATCTGAAACTAATGTATGGTGTGTCAACTCTACTAAAAAGCAGGAAAAATTCTCAGGCACCAGAATCGCCAGGGTCAGGGATAAATCCCAGCCTACCACTTGCTAACTCTGAGATCTCAGGCAAATTTCTTAGCTTTTTTTGTGTCTCTCTTTTCTCATCTATAAAATGGTGATGGAGCACCTGGATGGCTCAGTCAGTAGAACATGCAACTCTTGCTCTTGGGGTTGTGAGTTCAAGCCTCACGTTTAGCCTAGAGCTTACTTAAAGAAAAAAATTATTGAATTGAACACTTTAAATGGACCAACCGTAGGATATGTGAATTGTATCTCAATAAACATGTTATTAAGAAAATACAATGTGGTGTGGCTGGGTGGCTCAGTCAGTTAAGCATCCAACTCTTGATTTCAGCTTAGGTCATGATCTCATGGTTCGTGGGATGGAGCTCCGTGTCAGGCTCTGTGCAGACAGCTTAGAGCCTGTTTAGGATTCTCTCTCCCTCTCTCTCTGCCCCTCCTCGGTTCACGTTCTCTCTCTCTCTCTCTCAAAATAAAATAAATAAATGTTAAAAAATAACAAAAGGATGATAATGATACCACCTCTTTCAAATAATAATTGTGAGAATTAATGGAGATAATCCTTGGAACAATATCTTATATATGATACAACAATATCTTTTAAATAATAAGCAATCCTTATACACATTAATATGTTATCATATTACAAAATAGAAATACAATATAAAGATCCAATATACAAAATAGTTATATTGTATTATACACGATATGTACACAATATAAAAAATGAAAATAAAATATAATATCTGAAATAAAAATAGAACAAGCACAGCTAGTCTGAGGTACAACTATGTAAACGACACAGGAGAGGATGCTTTCCGGAACAGTCATTCCCAAACTCTGTCATGCTGTAGAGTCATTTTGGGGTATTGGTTAAAAAACAGAAATAACTAGGCTACCTCCCTGGAGAATACTTCTAATGTTTTTTCCTTTCCCCTGATAGTGAATTTGTGCTGACTCCAGGGGTTCCACTAATGACACCTCTGTACCCTAAGACTCCACTCCTATTTGAATGTGTGGGTGACCTTGTGCAGACAAGAGAAACCAAGACACAGAAAGAAAAAAATGTTTCTTCACCTCTTAATTCTGCTTCTCACAGTAAAAGCTCTAGATTAGAGTAAAATCTAATCTAGATTAGAGTAAAAGCTCTAATCGCTGCTCTAATCTAACATTGCTCTAATCGCTGTTGTCCTAACAAGTGCTACTTATAATACATTGCTCCGGTCATGGCTCACCTTTAAAGAAAAAAAAAAAAAAGTCAGAGCTGGGGCATCTGGATGGCTCAGGTGGTGGAGTGTACGACTCTTGATCTCGGAGTTGTGAGTTCGAACCCCATGTTGGGTGTCGAGATTGCTTAAAAGTAAAATTAAAAAAAACAACAACAACAAAAAACAAAAACCAGAGCTTAATCCCAGCAAGGAGTCACTTACCAGCCAGAAAGTGCTAGGGCATTCTGTCCCCTGCTTTCAGGAGGCCAACAGCAGTAGCTTCAGCCTTCAAGGAAAATGATCAAAGTTTCTTATCTGCACTGAAGCAACAAGAGATGAAGAAATTTCTGCCTGTCCTCAACATCTGAATGACAGGTAGATTTCTTGAGGCAAGGGAGAGGCATCTAAACTTTCCTTTCAGGGGCGCCCGGGTGGCTTAGTCGGTTAAGCGTCCGACTTTCGCTTGGGTCACGATCTCGCGGTTCGTGGGTTCGAGCCCCGCGTCGGGCTCTGTGCTGACTGCCAGCTCAGAGCCTGGAGCCTGTTTCGGAGTCTGTGTCTCCCTCTCTCTCTGACCCTCCCCTGCTCACGCTGTCTCTCTCTCTCTCTCTCCTAGAAATAAATAAAAATATTAAAAAAAAAAAAAAGATAAACTTTCCTTTCAAACATCGTTTTTAGGAGAACTGGTGAATTAAATCAACTTGCCCCAGGTTGCAGTTCTTTTAGGAACAACCTGTGAGAATTTCCATTTCCAAACTAACTAGAGCATGATCTTTGACATATTTAAGGAGAAACTGGCCAGTGTTCAGTCTTGAATGCCCTGGTGTCCTGGAGCCATAGGTTCCGATGACTGTCGCACATGGAGCCTCCTGGCTTCCTAGGTGGAGTCTGTGGGCCACATATGTGAGATGCACAGTCTCTGAGAGTGCTGCAAACAAGGAAGGAGGGGTTGCCTAGAGCACAGGGGCTGAGGACCACTTGTTGAGAGGCGTTAACCCAATGGTTTCAACTGTACCTGGCATGGTTATTACCCAGTGGTTTCAACTGTACCTGGCCTGGTTATTACTTTACACCATGGAGGGGCACCTGGTTGGCTCAGTCGGTTAAGCGTCTGACTTCAGCTCAGGTTATGATCTCACAGTTCATGAGTTCCAGCCCCACGTCGGGCTCAGTGTTGACAGCTAGCTCAGAGCCTGGAACCTGTTTCAGATTCTGTGTCTCCCTCTCCCTCTGACCCTCCCCTGCTCATGCTGTCTCTCTCTCAGAAATAAATAAAATATTAAAAAAATGACACAATGGATAATCTCTAATCAATGAATGAATATTTATTGAGCACTGACTGCATACCAGTGCTTGGGGTTGGACAGGACAGACACAAAGAAGCCCCATGTCTCTAGACTGTCACTTCATGGATGGTCACTGGTAGAAATGCTCAAGGTCTCTGCTTCATGGACTCTGGGAGCAAACATTTTGATGCTTTCAATGTAGCTATTGCCACCAGGCTGACAACCCCTTCAATTCAATTTTTTCTAAGTCCCGTCTAGAAATTATAAAGAACAGCAAATGGGAAAGGATCGAGGTCACTCTATTAAAAAAAAAAGTATTTTAGTATTTTCCATAAAAGAGGAAATTGGCAATTTGTCCTAAGAAAATACTCTAGAACTA